ACACAAATTAAAAAAATAATATTTTAATTATAAAATAATTGATTATTCAATTCAAGAACTACAAAATTGATAGTATAGAATAAACAATCTTAGTCATGAATTTAATTTTTTAATTGGAATTTAATTTAATTATGAATTAAATACATAAATATTAAATAAATAAATTTTTTAAAAATAAATTAATACATATATATATATATATATATTTAAATAGAAGCAAATAGTAACTGTGTACTGTATAACGTCGGTGACGATTCATTGAAGGTGGTGTTAATAATTGCTTAGCACGGTTCATGTTGGGAAATCCAGAAACAACTCAATCTAACATACACCGTTAAATTTCACCGTCCATCGTGGGTTACAACTATTTTAATTTTTATAATTATAATTCATCAATTTATTCATATAAAATTATATTTATAATTTATTATAATTATCTTAATTAAAAAAATAATCACTCTAATAAATTTATTGAGACTTAATTTAATTTTTTTTAAAATTAGAATCATTTTAAAAATATAAATGGGTATATAAATTTAAGCAACATAATTAAACATATAAGTATAAAAATTACAACCCGTTATAAATATTTCAATTAAAAGAATATAATCACAACATAATATTTTATTTATTTTATTTAAAATTTTAATTATGATTAAATTAAATTAATTAACATTTAAAAAAATTGATTAAGCCCCCACCGACCAAGACGCGTGGCGAGTATTGATTTGCGGAAGCCGTGAATTTGGTGCCTAAAAAACTATGTAATATGTGACAAAAATTTGAGAGTGAAAATTACATGTAACATATCTTATCTTATCTTATTAAATTGAAAATTTTATGCACGTGGATTGAGTCAATTCTAGCCTTTGTACTTTTGGGAGAGCGAGCGTGGGAACTTCCCACCTCCAAATTAATTAATTATGCTATTTAAATTAAAGAAATACAATTAATTAATTAATTAATTTTAATTTATATATGTTAAGATTTTTTTGATTTATTTTGACAAAATTAGATGGATGATTTGAATATGTTTAATTGATAAATGATCGATGTATCAATTCATATAATGTTGTAAGATATATATATATATATAATTTTTTAAAAATATTTTTATTTTTATTTATATAAATAAATTATAATACCCAAGATTAAAAATGTAAAGATAATTATAAACTATATATAAATTTTCGTAATTAATTATATATAAATTATGATTTATCCTTAAACTATTTTTTTAACGTAATATGTCGTTTTATGTAATATTATAAAAAATTATAAGTTCGAGTTGGATTGTATTTTTATCTATATATATATATATATTTTTTTTTCGTTATCTCGTAATTTAAACTCATAATTAATTAGTGCATTATTGACACATTTCTAAAACAGGTTGTACAATAATGAAATTGCTTTGGACCAATTTGTCCATTATTTCAAGTTCAATTCACCCATGCTTCTCATGGTGGTCCCAAAATTAAGCAAACACCAAATATGGTCAAAGAAATTCTTAAAAAAAAAAAAAATCAAAGAAACAAGAAATTTCAAAGCCCATTAAGAAGAAATATTAATTGGAGATTGATTATGTAGAGAAAAAGGTGAGAGAGAATTGATGTTTATCTACCCATTAAAGGGGTAAAGGACCTACACATTGTGGTATGTAACCTTTTGTTATTATGTTCTAAGGAGAAATTTTGAACAACATGGCCCCCAAAATTATATCTATCTATACGCTTTGAGTTTGGGATAAATGAAATTTACATGTTAAAAAAAGAACTATTCAAGTGCTATGTCTATTCATCTTTGATTATGAATTTGTTCCAAATTGACATATGAATCGTGAAAAATTGAAACAAAATGAGAATTTGTAAGAACAGGGAAAGATTTGTAACACGTGATTGCGTTCCCATTATGTTATTAGACTAGATTTAGTATTTGACTTAAGTAAGATAAAGTAAGTAAATATTATTATTCTACAATATATTTATGATGACTGGATAAGAAAATAAATAGTATGATACAAAATATCATATTATCATTATCTTAATTCACGTTAATAATTGGTAATGATTTTAGTAGTGATAATAATGACAACTGTGACAATAGATGATTTGATAATAATAAAGGTGGTAGTATGAGTTTTCATGATAATAATCGAGATAGTGACACAATAATAGAGTGAGATGACGACGACAATGACAATGATATTAGTGACAATGACGACAATGACATTGGTGACAATGACGACAAATAGGATAACAGCGACGATGGTGGTGGTTAACTACGACAACAATTAAGAATGTAACAACATATGATGATAACAATAAGGTGATAACAACAAAATCATATGAGCGACAGTAGTGGTAGCGACCTTAGCAACAACAACAATAGAATGAGATAGAAGTATTAATTTTTTTTTAATGCATTCTCGATGCTCTTCTATTGAAGAGTATCAAATTTGTTGTTTTTTTTAAAACTCTGAGATTCAGTAATTGAAGTTTTACTTGTAAGTAATTTATATGTTTATATCAAGCATTTGGAGAGTTCTTTTAAATTTCTGTCTCAATTTAGTGTTTTTTTTTTATTTTAATTATTACAATTTATAATATGAGTTATTTTTTCTGGTTGGTATTTCTCTAGTCGTTAAGATGTCGGTTTGACTTCTTTTCTGATATGATATTTCAATTCAATAACATCAGCGTTTTTTGTTGAATTCTTGACTTTCTCTGGATTTTTAGAGATTAACTGATATTCAGATAGTCTAATTATTTCCATTCAGATTCAATCTAATTCTAATCATATTTGTTTTAAAATGTCTTTTTGCTTTTGTTAGTTAGTTTTCGAGTTTTTTTTTTTATTTATTAGGTTTTGTAAGACAAGCGTGCAAGTTCTTCACTTCTTTGTCTTTTTATATTCTTTTTGAACTTTTTTAAATGATGTTAACGTATATTTTTTCATTTAAAAATTAATAATTTTAAGCAAACCTTCGCCATATTAGTCAATAAGAAACTCAGCATTGCATTTTACTTTAAAATAAAATATGTTAAAAAAATTTAACTTATATTCATTACGTATAAAATTTTAAAAAATTAAACTATACTAACCGAACTGTCTTTCGTATCTGTACGTAAATAAATTAAAATTACGAAAAATCTTTTACAAATTTGGTTTGAAGAATTAGGTATTTAAAAAAGTTTGTGTCACTCAAAATTATTGTGTACCATGCATGCATAATTGACTTTATGATGATGAACATTAATTAATTATTTGATAGATTTTGAGAGTTAAGAGAGGCAGAAATGATGGGCTTATCCTAATTGTTCAAAAAGTCTTGTTGAGGATCATACCTGGTACAGTGTAGGGATTAGGTGACAAGATTAGGAAATTTTAATTTTATGATTAGACACAAAAGAGGAACTAAACCCAAGTGTAAAATGCTTATAATATATATATACATATACATACACACATACATATACTTATACTTTAAAAAGTTGGACATCTCAATTCTATCTAAACTTCAGGTGGATTTGTCTCCTAGGAGGTTGGATAGTCCAATCAATATCTTCGTGAATCATCCCATACATATATATACATATGTGTGTGTATCTATATATTTTCATAGTCTATAGTTTCTCACTTGCTTTTTTAATGCAATGTGAGTCACCGTCCCTTTAATTTTATACCCATTTCTTTTTGGATTCTTTGCTACTTAACTTTATGTTGTGTGTGTGTGTATATATATATATGTTGATTATATAATTATTTTGTAGGTCACCTACTTTTTCTTACTTTGTACAATCTTACATATTCATTATGATAAATGTTTCATAAACCCATCTAGAACGTGAGTATCAATAAATAATTGTTTAGTATAGACACAACCCCACCTTCATATATATATATATATGGGTGTGTGTGTGTGTATATATGTGTTGTTTGTATATATATATATATATATATGACATGCTTTTCAAAGTTGAAGAAGATGGAAGGGACTAACTGGTGACAACGACACTTCTTTTCTCCTTCCTTACCACCTCAAAATTTTTTTTAAATAATAAATTTAAATTATTAGTGAAAATTTATTTAATATATAATTAAAAATTAATATGTAAACATTTTTTTTCTTCTATTTTTAACGAAATAAATTAAAATAAAATAGTTAAATTATATTTTTATATTTTAAAAAATAAATTTAATTTCTTCTGTTAACTATTTTTTCTTTTGGTAAATGCGTAAAATTTATTAATTAATGTTGTATATATAATATGTATATATATATACACACGCGCGCACACATATACACACATTTTCGCTTTCACCATCCTCAGTCTCTTTTGATGGGTTTGTTTGCCTTAGCCAAAACAGTTTTGTGATGCTTAATTATTTATTATCTTAATCAATATATTAATTATTTTAATCTAATTTATTTATATCATAATCTTAATTAATTAATTAATTAATTAAACTATTTTTATTAAATCTATCTACAATTATTATGTACTTAGCGTGTTTAAGTGACCTTCGCTCTTAATTTTTTTTTCATAGAAATTTTAATCTCCAGTTTTCAAAAATAGGAATTGAAAATTTTTAGTTTTATATATATATATATATGTATATTATTGGTGTGACTGAACATATACAGTAAAAATTTATAATAGTATTTTTTTTTATTTTTGTATATTATAGGTGTATTATATATATGTGTATATATATATATATAAGATTGTACGAGAATAATTCTTTTTTTTTTTTAAAAAAAAAGAATTAACCAAATACGAATAATTAATTACTTCTTGCTTGCTACCTATGGGCCGGTTTGGGTCCGGCCCAAATATTATAAATCTACTTTAAACGGGCCCAAAAGAAAAAGAACAATCAGCTCGGTCCGGCCCATCTTCTTTTTATTTTTCTCTTTTGGCCCAGCCCATTCGGCTCTCTACTTAAAATGGCGTCGTTTCGGAAGGCTCTAAATTTCTGCTTGCATCAGACGCAGAGAGCAAAATAAGAGAGCGGAGGGATTTTGAAAAAAGAGAAAAACAAGAAGAAGCGTGAAGGAAACGCAATCCGACGAGGGAGAAGCCGAAAATCTAAGGATTTTTGAAACTGGCTAAGAAAGGAGGAGACTCGACGGTGAAGCAGAAGGAGCAGCGGAGAAATAAGAAGAAGATTGAGTGAAGGAAAAAGAGAAGAGGGATTTGTGATTTGGTGGAGATTTCGGCTATAGAAAGAGAGCGTTTGGGCGAGTAAGGAAGAAAAGAAAAAAGAGGGGAAGAGTGGCTGAATTGGGTATTGACGAGAGAGTGGGAGCTGAGAAAGAGAGAGCATATAAGAGAGGGGAGAAAGGAAGGAGCTTTCCGGTTCCTTCGGGACACTTCCTTCTTCGGGTTTGAGAGAGGAAAAATCTGAAAACAGAGTGAAAGAGGGAGGACCGAGTGAGAGCACGAGAGGACTTCAATTTTGGAGCGAGCTTTAGTGAAAAAAGAAGGAAATTCGGGGAAGAAAGGAGGGAAGATTTTCTAAGCCAGAGGGGTGAAGCGGTGCCAGCAGAGAGAGGCAAAACAGAGTTGGGAAACAGTTTGTTATTCGGGAACTCAGTAGGTAATATTTTGTGTGATTGATCTTACTCAATTTTTGTTGAATTCAGACTTGATCTTGAATTAGTTTGGTGGGACAAAATGGGCAGCTGTTGTGTATTTGATCCACTGAATTGATGAGAAAGATGCATGATGTGAATATGGTGAAACAATTAGATAGTTTAGAGTCGTGGTTTGGGTTTATTGTGTTGACAGATATTTGACTCATTGACTATATTTTTCTATTTTGTGTTTCTAAATAAAATAATGTTTGGAATTTCAAGTAGTCTTTCTTTTGGAAGTGGTAATAGTTTAGTGTTTGATTGGATGTGTAAATCTTCTCCTTCGGTTTCGGTTTATCTCTTTTTAAACTTTGTTAGTGGGAATTGAGAAAGGGATATTGGAACTCCTTTTGTCTAGAAAATTTATTTTTCGAGTTAGATACAATCCTTGAGTTGTTTAAATTTTAGCATGAATAAGAAGTTATTTGTTTGAGATATTAAGCATATGTTTGTAGCACTAAAAAATTGCATTTTTGATCATGAATTCGAGAATGTACTTATTGTCTTAGGAGATGTTTGTATTTAATCAATTGGAAAATTTCAGAAAGAATATATACTAAATAGACTGATTTACATGCTTTTGAACTTGTTTTGCATTGTGTAATTTCATTCCAAAGTGTTGTGTTAATTTTCAGGTTATTATTAATTGTATTCTGTAGCTTTATTTTTAAATTTCATTAGTTTAAACTAATTAGCTGCTACACAACAAGGAGGATGCCTAACACCTTCCCTCCTTGTTAAATTTTGACCTAGGACTTTGGTTTATGACCAATGTATTTTTGGCATCTAATTCTGCCTAAAATTGTATTTTTTTTGAGATAACTGCCTAAAATAGTATTACTGGCGAGTCCCTTGAACTTTGAATTTAAATATTTGTTTTTGCGGAGTTTTCACCTGGTCTCACTGGATTGTGATAGGTCTATGATTTGTGGCTTTTGGTATTTATTATATATGTACGCTTGCTGCCTAAACACGTGTTCCCTGGACACGTTGCATTATGATAAATTTGGGTTGCACAACTTTTAATTTTTCTTGGTTACTTGGCTGCTAAAGTGGAAAACTTGATGATTATTTGGGGATTGTTCTTGCTGTCCAGGTTTTTTTATTTTCCATTTTTATAGACGATATGTGAACTTGGTCTCTTTGGGTGTTGGAGTTGCAAAGTAGCAATCTTAAACATTGATTGGTGTATGCTTGTTCATAGTATATGATTTGGGACATTTTCAAGATAAAGAGTCATATTGATATGGTTATAAGGTGTTGATGACGGTGCATGTGTTGGTTTTGTGCTTCTTTCTCTTTTTACATATTGCATATGATGATTATTTCTTTTAACTACATCTGATGTTTACATTTTGCATTTTAGTTTCTTCATGGTGAAGAATTAAACTCTAGCTTTCAGGTAAATGACAAGTACTTAGCCAGTATTACTTAGAGCTATTATTTCTTAGTCTATATCACAATATGGGTGCCTCACCCATTCCCATCTTATTTGGTTTTTCGGACTCATTGTTATCTCTATTAGACCAGTTCATTTTTGGGTGACTGAGTCACTGGTGATTCCTTTGTGTTTTTTGTGAGTGCCTCGACGTCACTGGTGTGACACCCAACATAAGAAAGGGTGCTCAGCGTAGCAGTGGAAGGGGTGGTTTTCTTTGTGATTTTTCTTCTCTTTGCTCAAACATGCATCAACATTTTGCGCCACTATCACCTCTTAACTCAAACTTATTTGTGCATAGGAAATGGAGAACTTAACAAACAATGGTCCTGCGGAGGATGAAGAAGAATATGTTTTGCTTGATCTAGATGCTGTTGCTGGGCAAGTTGACATCCCTGGAAATGCACCATATGTATTATTTGTAAGTTTACTGGCTGTTCTAACTACTCTAATACCAAATGAGGTATAATATTTATAGGTTGGTTTTTTATTTCAAAAAAAAAATATTTATACGATGACACTGCTTTTAGTTTCAATTATTTCGTAATCCTTTTAATAACATTATTTCTAACACTAAGCGACGTCTAATACTTATGTGTTTGCTTTAACAAACTATGATGCTATCTGTGGGAATCAAACCCACAAAGCTTATATGTTTTTTTTGTCTCATACTCTCCACAATATTTGCCTGTCTGATACTGGCTTCCATTTAAATTATTTCATTCTGATCCTGTTAATAATTTTATTCTGAAATAAAAGGAGAAAATCTGGATCTTGAGCTACAATGCTATGCAAACGTAATGAAAGTTTGATTTAAAGTAGTTAAATTGCATTTGCATGTTAGCTAAATTAAATTGAACGAGTTCATTTCACTTTAGCAGGGTTAGAGATGTCCTAGCAGCCTTGGAGGTTCAGGGTTCTGTTCCTGCCATGTGCAGTGTAGAATTACTTCATAAAAGAAAAGTTGAGCCTGGTTGTGTTTTCTTTTGACCTCTGGGATTTTTGTCGACAAGTGTCGGATCTAATAATGGTATAACGTCTTTTGGTTGAGTGTCATATCTGCTAATGCCTAATTCTCTGCATAAAAAGTTCCTCTTTCTTTTACTATGCTTTTTTTGTAGCTAAGATTAGTTATGAATTAGGACATTTTCTTTGTCCTTTCCTTTACTTTATTTTTTACTTAGTTATGTTATATTTCAGGGCCTGGATACATTGCACCCCATATTGATAATAGACAACAAATTGAAGCTGGTAAGTTGATGTCTTGCAATGTTATGTTTTCTTTCTGAATGTAGAAAGCAAGAATTCCCATGCTTTTTGAAAGCTTTTATGGTTTAGATTTTAGCACAAGAGTCAACTTAACTAAGAACCTGAACTAGTTCGGATTGGCTACATGAACGTCATTCTTTCATATTTGCCTGATTGAATATTACATTTTCACTGTTTAAAGAAATTAGCATATGTAAATTCTTTTCTACGGACCTGTAAATTCTTTTCTACATCTTGTACATGGGTTACACCCCCTTGGCGTCATTTCTATACTATTACTCACTTTTATCTCAGAAAAAAAAATAAATCAATTAGCATATGTAAAGTTTAATGCTTTTTCCTTTCTCTCGTCAGAGTTCGGCTTCCTATTTAAGGATAAGAATTCTCCTCTATATTTCAACAAAAAAGATAAAAAGAAATATAATTAGATTCTATTAAATTTTAATAAGATGGTGATATTTGCAACAGTTAATAAAGCGACTTATTCTGACAGTTAGAAATCCTTGAGACTTGAGAGATATTTCTATGCGACATTTTTGTTATGTTCCTTCATAACCTGGTGAAATTTGCAACCATGTCATTTTCCATGCATCTCAAGCTAATTACTCAGTGTTCATCATATTAGACCTAAGCATTTGTTAGCCTAATATAATGTTGATTCTTTCTCTGTAACTTGTTGCTAGGATTTGAAAGTTAGCTTAAGCTCTTGGGTTCTTAATTTCTACAGATAGGAGAATATGAAGAGACCATTGGGACTTGCTTGGTTTTCTCTGAAGATGGTTAGTCCAATTTCTTGCTTCTGTTTTATGACCGTTGATCCATCACCATTCTTGACATGTCTTTTTATCTTTACGTATCATTTATTTTACTTTTTCACTATCTATCAACTAGGAGGAATTTCCTTTTCTTTACCCTTCATTTTTATTTCATCTTTATTTTTGCGGGGTACATATAGAGGATGTCATTATGAAACCGGAGAATACCCAACCAGGTGACTCAAAATGACTGTTGGATAGCTTTCTTCTCTCTATTGAGTTCTCTCTCTCTCTCTCTGTTTTTTTCTTTGTTCATCGTACATCCTCCGACAGGCATTACCTATCTGCTTTACTTGTGATTTGAAATGCTTAAATGCTTACTTAAGCACAATCTAGGTGTTAAGTTCCCGGTTGGGAATAAAGCGCAATATTTATTTTTGAAAAGCTATGTACGATGTATATGAGTTTTAGAAGGAACTTGCATCCTTGCTATTAGATAGTTTCTAATTTTATAGCACTCCCGGGCACACGGATGAAATGTGCATCATATTGGCGATGTTAAATATGCCGACACCATTTTTTCTGTTCTTTTCTTTGATTGGAAAAAATATATATGTTTTCTCAGAAGCTGCTCCTGTTGTTCGCGAAGAGGCGGGACCATCAGAAGCTAACCTTCCTGCGGGCAAATGCATAGTCGATCAAAATCAAACACCACAAAAGCAAGTGAAACCCGTTGCTCGGCTCCAGAAGGTTTTGAAATTCAAAGTGTTACTAGACGACGATGATCAAGAAATAATTGTTCAACCAACTACGACAACTTTATGAGCAGGTGCTCCTTCCACTCTTGCTCTTTTCATCTTCTCAGGAAAAAAAAATTTAACCTGATTTGATACTTTTGTGAGGTAGATCACCTTCCTCTTTACTGTTTAGATCTGTTTAAACACAGGTCTTTTTTATTCTAATAAATTCAATCAAAAGTAACTTTTTAGGTGAATGCACATGTATTGCAATTTGTACATAACCTAATGTTGCAATTTAATGTATAACTAAATTAATTTTAATCATATTTCTAATACCATGTGAATTAATTTATATTACAAGCTTATTTTATTTAGATAAAATTGCAAAAAAATAAACTAATTAAATCGAAAGCCACTCAAAGTTAGAGATTTTTGCAATTGAATGAATTTTCGAGATTTCTAAGTTCGAGACTTTCGTTTTAAAAACTTAAATTGTATACTATTAAAAATTTAAGTTTGATAATGAAGTTTTTGACATAATAATTCATGATCGAGGTAATAGTATGTAATTGGAGACGAATTACCCAAATTTAAATGGTTTATTAAGCAAATTAAATTTTAATAAAGTTAATTTATTAATTTAATAAGTATTATTCTAACCCAAATAATTGCCTAAAGAATCATATTTATGAAATTAAAACTATATACTTTTTTGAATAAAAAATTAATTAAATTTTTAATATGTTATGGTTGTAGTTTTAATAATAAACTAATAAATTAAATTTAATATAATTTAATTAATATAGTCTTAATAATAAATTAAATTATTAATTTTATTAAATATAACTAGTATGTTTTATTTAAAGTATAATATTAAAATTTTGTAAAAATATTTTTTACAAAAATATTTAAAATTTTTAATTATTAGAAAATAATTAAAAAACAAAAGAATTAAAATTTAATTAAATAAATTACTATTTAAATTGACATAACAAACCGAGAATTAAATACCCGGTACCGCGACTAAAAAGGCTTTGGGTTTTCTAGTTTCTGTTTGGCTTAGGGTTATTTCCTGTTTGGCTAGGATTAATATTTTCCATTCGAGGTTAGGATTACTCTTATCCGCGCTTTGCATATATAATAGCAACACAGAGATTGAACTTCCGAAGTTTTAATCTCCGATTTTTTGCTTGTGAAAATTCTTGATCTGAGTTAGGGACGAAGGAAAGCAAGAGTTAAGCCGACATGGCGTTGAAGTTTCTGAACAAGAAGGGATGGCATACAGGTAGTTTGAGAAATATAGAGAACGTATGGAAGGCGGAGCAGAAGCACGAAGCTGAGCAAAAGAAGTTGGAAGAACTCCGCAAACAGATCCAAGAAGAAAGAGAACGCTCTGAATTTCGTGCTCTCCAAGAGCAGGCTGGTCTTGTTCCGTAAGCATTTCTCCCCTCTTGATTTTATACCAAAATACTAGGGTTAGGGTTTATAATAAATTTACTCTTTGGCTACTTGCAGGAGGCAAGAGAGATTAGAGTTCCTCTACGATTCAGGACTAGCCGTTGGGAGGAGCGCCGGTGGCTCGGAAGGAGGAGGAGTCGCCTTCAAGGCTCTCGAAGAAGAAAGCGTGCCTGGCGCCAGCACCAAAAATGACGATAAGCAATCGTCTGCCCCTGGAGCCTTATTCGAGGAGAAGCCCCATTCTGCCAATGATGCTTGGCGCAAGCTCCACTCTGATCCGTTGCTTCTTATTCGCCAGCGCGAGCAAGAGGCCCTTGCTCGCCTCAAGAACAATCCTGTCCAGATGGCTCTCATTCGCAAATCTGTATGTTTTCATATATATCTGATCCCTCCGCAGTCTATATATGTTTTTTGCTGTTATTGTACGCTATTATGTTGACAAATCTGAATTTCGTAAGTGATGATTGGCTATTCTTATCGGCGATATGGTTTTACTATTAGCACTTAAGATTGGATCTAGCATATGAAGACTTGACATGAAAAGCTGACTGCGATGCACTTGCTTATGTGGTCTGTGGTACGAAGTAATGATTTTGAGTTCTTGTTTCTTTTCCTTTTTTGAAAATTGTCAATCTACGAATTTTTCAGTCTGCCTATGGATACGAGCAGCTTCTCTATGCATTGAAGAGATTTCCGTTCTATCTAATTGGTGACATTATTCTTCACTTGCATGCTCAAACCAAGGATTTTGTTGTAGGAAGATGTAGTTGGAGGACAGATATAGTTGATTTTTTTTTATAAGAGGACAGATATAGTTAATGCAATGGAAGAAATTGCTGCCTTCTTGTTGAAGACTATGGATTATTTGTTTAAGTCTTATTTGTGCAGTTATGCTGTTTGTCAATAAATTGGAGGACGGTGGCTTCATCTATAAGCTTAAGAGCACAATTTTATGAGGTCTTTATCAATGTTCTAAAATTTTTTATGCATTTGACAACCAACCAAGAGCTTTGAAGTTACGAAGCTTATAACTTGTATTCTAGGGGACTATTCCAATGCCCATCAAGGATTTTGACAGATTTCAGAGTAGGTGTTTCTCAGTTGTAAAGTTTGCTGTACACTACCACAAGCATTTGCATGTTCTCTGGTGTCCGAATTTCATCTTATAAGTGTCTCTTTGAATCTGTTTTACCTAAAAATTTAAAATTTTGTCAATCACATTCTCTACATATTTCAAATGCTTATTAAATTAAACCACCTCCCAGTCAATGAGGTGAAATTTCAGTTTACTCTAACTTGCCCTGAAATTATGGTTGGAGATAGATATGTCATGCCTTGAAGCACATCTAGATGTATGTGATGGACATAGTTTAGGCTGCCTGTGACTCTGTGCTTATTTATCAATTTTCATCAGGTTGAAGGAAAAAAATCCAAGGAGAAGGCTCGAGACAAGAAGGAATCTCGGAAGAAGCATCGTCATGGTATTTCAAAGAAAATTAAACATTCCTCATCCAAACACCATTCAGATTCAGAAGACGACATGTCTGAGGAGGATGACAGAAGAAAATCTGGCATTCACAAGACCTCGAGTTATAATAGAGATTATGACAAACAAAAGCTTAATTCGGACGATGAATCAAGGGAAACAGAAAGCCCAAGGAAGAGTTACTGCAAGGTGAAATACAAAGAGCGGTCACCCAGTTACCAATTGGAACGAAAAGCCAAAGATGAGATTGCTGAAGGGGGTAAAAGAAGAAAAACTGCTAGTCAGAAGAGCTCAACTTACTCGAAGCATTATGATAAGCAAGAACTTGATTCAGAAGAGGAATTGAGGGAAGCAGAGAGTTATAGGAAGAGTTATCACAAGGAGAAATACAGAGAACGGTCATCTGTTAACCAATCAGAATCAAGAACTGTCAAAGATTATGGTCAAGGTACAGGCAGGGAGAATACTGACAAGTCAAAGTACGAAAAATATTCTTCTCAAGGTAGAATGAGTTTTGATGCTAAAGAAAAGCGGAAAGAAAATGAAACTATACATCAACATGAATCACAACATAGGAGACGAAGTACCGCCCCTAAACTTTCGGAAGAAGAGCGAGCTGCCAGGCTTCGCGAGATGCAAACGGATGCTGATTTGCACGACGAGCAGAGATGGAAAAGGTTGAAGAAGGCTGATGAGGATGATGCAAAAGAAGCTAAATCGGCCAGCACAGTAAAAATGGGTGGCAGGAGCTTCTTGGATGCCGCCCATAGAAGTGTTTATGGTGCTGAGAAAGGAGGTAGCTCAACAATAGAGGAGAGTGTGCGTCGCAGAACCCATTATTTACAAGGTAGAAATGAAGCAGAAAGAAATGCTTTCAGGCGATAATGTGTTTCACTTCTGTTACTTGCAATGGTAATTTGCAGGTCGGCCGATCCTAAGGAGGAGTAAGTTGCTCGCAGTTTTAATCTCGGCCCCTTGTCATCTCTATTTATTCGGTTACTCCGGCAGTGTTGTATATTTGATGGTGTTGGTTTAGGTGGTGATTGATGATTCACAGTTTTCTTATACATGTTTTTGAAGTTCAGTAATCTCCTACTATGTTTTCAGAAGTAAGTGTAATATTGTTCACAAGGATACACATTGCAGCCAACAAGCCTAACAATGTTCCTGGATTAGGTAACAAAAAATAAGAATTAAAAAATATATATATATGTATTTGTAATTATAATTAACTTGATTATTTTGTAAATATTCTTAAAAATAATTGTAATTGTATGTAATACAATTATAATTTATTTTACAAATTAATAACAAAAAGCATAATTTTTGTAATTATAATTAATGTAAATATTCTTAAAAATAATTGTAATTATATATTAATTATATTACAAATTAATTTTGTAAATTAGTTAAAAAATTAACAACAAAAACATATTTTTATAATTGTAAAGGATATTCTTAAAAATAATTATAATTTATAATGCAATTATAATTTTACTACAAACAAACTTTATGCCATAAGAAAATATTTATTTAAAAAAAAAATTAAAGAAGAAGACAATGGTATTATTTTGAGCGCGTGAAAGACATGTCCGCATTCAGTAATTTATAAAAAATTATTTTTTAAAAAAATTAAAATTGAATTCGAGAAACTCCAAGGAAGGCGACGAGCATCACCATTGACGACCATCATCTTCGTCGTCTGTGTCCGTCGCTGCACATCAAACATCAAGCATAACAGTTTCCTCCTTCGTAAGTCGTCCAAGACCACGTACTTTCAAGGCGCATATTTATCATACGAGCTATGGGTTGCTCCTCTTCTCTTCTAGGTAAACGCCTATTGTATATAATCTTGTGTTTTCAATTCTTTTTATAAAGGGCTTTCGCTGATTGAAATCTTTTTAGTTACGTGATTATAAAGGATATTAATTTCTGATCTTGACGATTCGGTTGACATCTTAGGGTTTTTGAGCTGAAGGAGTTCGGGTTGGTCGAGAATTTTGGAATTTCGGGATAGTTATTTAATAAGCATGGTTATTTTTGAGTTAACAAAGGTTTTGGGTATTCATGTTTTTGATTATTACAGATTTTTTAATTTTTGTTTATTATTTTATTTATTTATTTTTTGCAGCTGGGAGTTCTGGGGAGTCAGGTATCAGGTCACTTAACAATTCGGAGAATAGTGGAGCAACTGACGCCAAAAATCTACGCGTAAAGGTAAATAATTTGAAGATAATAAAGGGTATTTATGCTTTGAGGTGATTTCTGGAGTTTTCTTATTTGATGTGGACGGGGAAGTAAGTGAACTGAAAAGGAAGCTTTATAATTGGTAGTTGGATGATCCATGTAATTGGATTGAACTTCTCGATGAGTTGAATCACTATAGAGGCCTTCTGAAAGTTAGTTGCTATAATCGACAAGCCACTTCTTGATATTTAGTTGTGGCAATTCATTACTGAGGAAGAGGGGGAGGAAGGCGGTGGTATCAAGGTGCATTCTGATTGTAGTGTTTGGATCACTAATGAAGGAAGGTACTTTTGTTCTATTTTGAGGTGATATAGAATTGATGGTTTCTTTTTTTTGGCATGATGTTTAGTTGGCATTATGTTGGTAAAGAAGAAGTTTCTGGATCTCTTTGTCATTATTGAGCAACATGGAAATGGTGAACTTCTTCTTTTTTGACATGATCTTTTTATGATGATATTGGTGTTGAAGGAGAATTTTGGATCTTCATGCCATTGCTAGGAGCAATGTCCTTATTAAATCTTGTTCGACCTCGGCAAATTGGGAAGTATTGTATGATATTCTCTCGAAGGAACATTAGTGGTTGGAAGGAAGGAAGCTCGAATATATTTTTCAAAATTTTGTATTTTAGAGTTATGGTAAATGGAAGATTGTTCTTTACCTGAGGCAGCAGGAATTTTTTAGGTGTGCTCCTGTTATAGCATATGACTTTGTGGGATGTTGGCTTCCATTTTCCTTGGAGAAAATGTTGACTATTGGCACCTCAAGGAAGAGAACATAAATATCATTAGTGGGTGTTATATTTGCAAGGGCGTACTCTCTAGAGGACTAACCACCTTTTATTGTGCACTTTCTTGGCTAGGGATATCTGGCTGGGATGTGATTCCTCTTTGCTTGGGATAAAAGAGTAGTCAGTTATACTGACTGATTTGTAAATACTTCTGTACATGGGCGGCACCCCCTTGGTGTTTTTTTGTTAGTAATATATACTTTGCACTTTTTATTTATAAAAAAAACAGTAGTTAGTTCCATTGGGAACCAACTAAGTTCATGACGAGTTCAAACTTCTAGGAGAGAAATAAAGCCAAAAGAGCCCTTACCTTAATCTCTGGTTTTGTCTTGAATGATTTTGAAAGAATGATTGTGGTGATAATCATACTTTTGTGCTGGATGATTTTCAAGGAAATTGGGGGATTTTGATGGGATTAGACTCCCATAGCTAAGATCGTGGATGGCTCAGAGACGTTGTTTTTGGTTGCATGGGCATTTTCTTTTGAAAGTAGATCCTAGAGATACTTTTTATGCTTAAACTAACTAATTTTCCTATAATGTTTCCTTGGCACACCTACTGTACAAGCATTGTTACCTTCATTTGCATTCAGTGGAAACTCATATAAAATAAAGAAAAATGGGACTGAATAAAATGCCAGTCCTTGCAGCTTCAGTATTTATTGTTGGTATGAGGTACATCCAAATTATTACTAGAACTAGAAAAGTTTTCTTCTTTTTTCTTCTTTTTTGTCCGTTAAATAAAGACTTAGTACTAATGGTTCCTGTTTTGCTAACTTTTACTAAAATTTCCTTTGATTTTGCCATTCAGTTGGTTCTTTTAGGTGATTCTGGCGTTGGTAAAAGCTGCATTGTTCTTCGTTTTGTTCGTGGCCAATTTGACCCAACATCCAAGGTAAGAAGAACTTAAGTACTGATTAGTATCAATAATTAATCTATACCTTGTTACTTTCTAAGTAAAATAGCAATCAAACACTTCCCATCTGCATGGATTTGAGCATATTTTCTTCTCTCTTGAGAGCCTGGGAGATTTGGCAATTATGAAATCACTATTATTTGATCTTTGTAATTATAGGTAACTGTGGGAGCTTCATTCCTCTCTCAAACAGTTGCCTTGCAAGATTCTACTACAGTGAAGTTTGAAATATGGGATACTGCCGGCCAGGAGAGGTATTGTGGCCAAAAAATATTGAGTGTTCTCAAAAAAAATATTAAGTGTTCTCAAACACATCCAGACACTATATCTACACTGTAAAATTTATTGTGATAGCTCATCTAATAAAATATATAGATTCTACCCCCTGCTCTTCCTTTCTTCCAACACTGTTTACTTTGGAGAAGTTTTAGTTGCTTACTGTTTCTTCCTTAGGTATGCTGCATTAGCACCACTATATTACCGAGGAGCTGCAGTTGCTGTTGTTGTGTATGACATAACAAGCCCAGATTCATTCAGCAAAGCACAATATTGGGTCAAGGTACCTCTCACATTGATTGAAGGACTGTTGTTTTCTGTTTTTTTCTTCACTTCTTTCACCATCTTTTGCTTCCATCTAGGAATCATCCTTATTTTATTTATTTTATACTTTTATTTCAACAAAATTATTTATTTTGCACTTGACCATGCAAAGGTTTGATCAAAGTTGTAAAACCATCCAATGATCATATTTTAGTTTGCAATATAATCTAATTGGCAATGATTTGCATTAAGGATTTAGCGTCAACATATATAGAACTAAATCAAAATGTTGTACTAGAAGTTGTAGTGTGGAGTACAAACTCCTTGTATAGAGGGTAAAAACTGATTCACACATTGAATGTTTCTGTTTATTTTAAAATAATTATTGTCTTAGAAATTTCTAAATGACTCAAAAGTCAAACTTTTTCTTTTTAAATAGACTCAAAATTCAAATTAAGAACAAATGTATAACTTTTTTTGGGGCGGTGTGAGACTCAAGACATTGATGCCCCTGGATATGATGGTCTTTGTCATGACCTTCCTATTTAGTGGTAGAGGCATCAGAATGTAGCTTCTTGTGTAACATGCTCAGATCTTTCACTATCTTCCTATGTTGCATGAGCTAAGATTTTCATGTCATTATCTTGCTCAATATAATATCCTGGGCCACTCTTTATACTTGCCAAGCTGTGGACAATGTTACTCCACTGGAATGGCGGAGTCAATCTTCACTTAATAGGCTCAGCTCCTTTTCGAATGTCTCTCATTTGTCTCTTGTGCTTGCCCCAGTCCCTCACTGAACTTTCATGGCTTCACTTGCATATTTTGAATGCCAGAGATTTTTCTTTTAATATTGAGAAGTTTTAATCAAATGAAATAAAGCCTTCTTGTTTCTATTTTGTTATTTTTGAGAAGAAGTTTCTTGTTTATCTATCTCTCATCTTCAAATCTGTGGTGGAAACTAGAGAAGTCCTCTCTAACATGTGCCTATAAGTTTACTTCTTCCAAATTCTCTATTGAGAGATATTCACATGTACAAGACTTGTCAAGTAAGACTCTAGAAACATCTAATGTAATACGACATGCGAACTCTACAGGCATACATGCCTTTGGGAACCAACAGGTGCAGTTGGTTAGAGGTAAGTCACAATATAAACACCACCTTTGGGGCGCCGCTCTCAAGTTCCTTGGGCAGGGCTGGGTGTCATCAAATCTGTTGCTAAAGATGTTTGGGCATGGCATGGCATCTAATTCTAGAGGGATAAGCATGAAAAGATGTATCTCACTTATCCCCACCTATCATGTGGGCCATTTAGAAGGAAAGGATAGAAGAGCCTTAAAGAAAGCCGTTTTTTTCCCCATGGAGTTAGAAAATTGTGGTTCCAAACCTTAATATTTTTTTAAGGGTCAACCTCTTGTTTGTTTGGAGGATTTGGGGCAACTTAATGACATTTTGACCGACTTGTAAAGCTTTTGTATGCTGTGGCACCCCCTTGGTGCTGTGTTAATATTTATGTATAATTTTTTTCCTCTAGATAAAGAAATTGCCACAATTTTCTCCCGTCAATGACACTTGAAGTCATGAAAGTTTGTATTCTATCAAAAAAAAAGCTAAAGGGATGAAGGTGTTAAACGGGGAGAATGTCATGAATGATAGTATCTCCATTTAATATGCAGATTTGTACCTATCAGCAATGGCTCAGCAGTTCTGACTGTAGAGCTCTCCAAACTTTACTTTGCATACTGTTCTTGCCAACGAAAATGAAAAATTCTTCTCGGTGTAAATGTTTCTGATATTCTGGAATTCCTTAGATACTTGAATTGGCAACAGCCTATTGACAGGTTCATTCTCCATGTTGATTTCTGAGCTAGTATTTAGTCATTCTCCCGAGCAAGATGAGCAAATAACCAAAAGGAAAAAAAGAAGTGTGATGTTGTTAACCAAGCATTCTCTTGCTTGGTTGTTATTTTTCATACTTGTGAAATTTGGGGCCAACCTAGTGCCAGGTGAGTCATGAGGATGCTAAATTTTATGACAAGTCACAGGATGAAAGTTATAGACCTTTCAAGTGACGCATTGGTTGGATTCCCATACTTATGGGTGTAAGTTTGTAGCAGAAAAATAAATGGCTTTGTTCTTTCACATGCATGGGAGACATTTTGCAGTATGATAAGGTTTCATCACTAGTTATGTGGCCATGGTTTCAATTGCAAATAAAATTATATCTCGGTCTTTAGTACTTTAGATAGTTTGTTTGCCTGGCAGAACATTTGTTTGATAAGGTTATGCATAGTATTCTAATTTTCAATTAGTCTTCCAAACTATAAACATTACTGTGCATCTTTTTTATCTCAAATACTCGTGGCATCCCTTTGGCTTCTGATTATCAAAAAAAAAAAAAAAGAAAAAAAAATGCAATTCCAAAAACCAGATAGTTCTTCTTTTGAGTAGAAGCAACATTTTGTTGTGGTTATGGAATATATTTAAAAAGGCAGAAGTGGATAATGATGAGCTTAAGCTTAACCAACTAACTACATTGTTGGATTCTTCCTTTCCTAAAAGTTAAGGCCGTTACATAAACTGTATATGTCAGTTAACTTATGACTTGCTATGGTATGAATTCGACTTTCTTGTTTACAAAATCTCGAATGGTTTGCTAAACCGTGGGAATTATATACCATGCCCTTTTGATTTAAAAAAGGAAAAAAAAAAAAGTTTCTATGGTATAAAATTTGGAACTACTAATGAATTCTACCTTCTAACAGGAGCTACAAAAACATGGGAGCCCAGATATAGTCATGGCTTTGGTTGGTAACAAGGCTGATCTTCATGAGAAACGAGAAGTACCAGTACAGGTGAATGTAATTGCTAGCTACTGAATGTGTTGGATCCATATATCTCAGATGAATTATCATTTACTTTTTCTAACATCACATATCACTTTTGTTCTTGAAGGATGGCATTGACTATGCGGAGAAGAATGGGATGTTCTTTATTGAGACATCTGCAAAGACAGCTGATAATATAAATCAGCTGTTTGAGGTACTTCTAACATCTTTTCTTATTCTAGCATGATTCTAATTCCTGCAACTATTAAATCGATGAAATATCTTCATAAGCACTCTGCCATTCTTATACGGAAGAGGAAAAATTGAGAAAGGTTTAAGTACTGAATGACCATATAAGCAGGTTAGCATGAGCAAAAAGTATTGAATGTATGGCTGTTGATAGAGTTAGAGATAACTGATTTAACTTTCTAAGCTATGTTTTAACAGTTGCCCCTCTTTTTCTGAGCTATTGAACCTCATAGATATTTTGACTTCTTTTTTTTTGAAATAATATTTTGACTTCTTTTTGTTAAGTAAATTGGACTTATACCCAACATACATTCCCTCCTTTGTACATGGACAGTCGGAGAAACATGTTTCCTTGTTTAAAAAACTACTTTATATACAGTCAAGAGAGAGAGGTTGATATTACAGCATTTTCCCTTTATTTAACAATTGAAAATGGATAATTGGCCTCTCAAATTGTATCGTGCCCCATTCCAACACTATGATTAGCATATTGCTAGCATCAGTAGGATGTGAACTATTCTCAGTTCTATTTACTGCAATTGACGAAGTATCTTCTTAGGTACTCTGCCCTTCTTATAAAGGAAGAGAAAAAAGTGAGAAAGGTTTAAAAACTGACAAGCCATATAACCAGGTTAACATGAGCGCAAGCCTTGAACATATGGCTCTTGGTAGAGTTAGAAATAACTGATTTAATTTTCTAAGCTATGTTTTAACAGTTGCCTTTGTTTTTCTGAGCTATGGAACCTCATGGATATTTTGACTTTTTCTTGTAAGTGCATTTAAAGTATACCCAATATACATTCTCTCCTTTGTACATGGACAGCCCTTTTTTTAAAAAAAAAATTTTATGTACAATCAAGAGAGTAAGTTTGATACAGCCACCTTTTTTTTGAAATAAAGTTTGATACTACAACATTTTCCCCTTATCTACCATTGGAGATGGATAATTGGCTTCTCAATTTTGTATCATGACCTATTGCAACACTATGCTTAGCATATTACTAACATCATTAGAATGAGATATATTCTCAATTCTAATCACTGCAATTACTAAATTGATGAAATATCTCATAATTACTCTGCCCTTCTTATAAAGGAGGAGACAAAAAGTGAGAAAAGTTTAAATACTGAATAGCCATGTAACCAGGTTAGCATCAAGCCTTGAACATATGGCTTTTGATCAAGTTAGAGATAACTGATTTCATTTTCTAAGCTATGTTTTGACAGCTGCCCCTGTTTTTCTGAGTTATGCAACCTCATAAATATTTTGAATTTTGTTAAATACATTTGATTTATACCTAATACACATGCCCTCCCCTGTACACGGACAGCCCTTTTAGGAACTTGCCTTGCCCGGCATTGATGTTTTAGTTTATGATGTTTATGCTTAATTTTTTTTCTCTGTATGCATAGTCTTCTGTGACCATGGTTTTGGTTTTAGTCTGTCAAATTTTGAGGCTTCTTTGGCTAGTCGAATGTCATGTAATTGTTGCCACCATGGAAGGTCTAAATGCTTATATTATGGTTTAAGGCTAAAATTCCATTTCTGTCATTTGCTAGCCTTGATTTTATCTTATAAGAAATTTATAGTACTTTGATGGTATATTTATTTGAGACCTTCTACGTACAAACAGTGATTTGAAAATAAACAGTGAAGGTGCATGCATGCATATTATAAGCATTTAGTGGCACACCAGCTGTTGTTCTTAAGCGTTGGAATGAACACTTAATGCTTGCTTAATTGCATTTACAATTTATTCTTGACGCTGAAAAGTAGTTATCATTTAATCTTGAGGCTGAAAACCTTTACTTCTGCAGGAAATTGCTAAGAGACTCCCTCGACCTCCTCCTTCATAGTTAAAGAGCATTCGCGAACGCATTTAACTCCTCACGTTGTCGGAAGTATGTGTACATTGTAATGAACCCTTGTGGTTATTGTTCTGTTTTATTACATTGTTATCATCTTGATTTTCAAAATTTATAGTTGCAACATCAGGATCAACCTTCACACAGTGAATTTGCTTATAACTGACTAAGGTGTTCAGACCATGCTGGCGGGCCTTATATGCCATTGGCTAGGTTGTAAATTTTTTATATATTGTTTCTATATGTGTTTTACCAGATTTTAGCAAATTTGTTTCTTTTGCCATCAGATTTCTGGAAGTTATTTGAATTCTTTTGATTAGCCTCACTGTGGGGTTGTAATTCTGGGAGAAATCAGCAATCAAGTCGTTGTATTGCATTTGGTTTGCTGAATAGACTCAATTGTTAATGTAGTATTCGGTAGGTGGGTCAACGGTCAAACTTGGTGGGACCCACATGGAAAAAAATCTTCTCTTTGTCCCCCAAAAAAAAAAAAAAACACGTCAACGACATGCCGCCACGTCACGTCCATTTGAGTTGCTGACTAATAACACGTCAGCTCGAGAAGACACGTGCGCGTTGAGCAATTCCATCTGCCGTCACCACACAGCATTTGACCTCACGGCGTCAGAACCTTCGTCAATCCATTTCTTTACGGACTCGTCTGAAGAGACCTTTTTTTTTTAAATAATAATAATAGAAGGACTGAAATGTTATTTCCACAAACTAACGGACCTTTTTGTAATTATCCCAAATTTTAAGAGTCTTGATTTAATTTACCCAACAAATAAAAATTCGTACTTTTAACTAAGGTAAGATTCAATAAATCAAGTGTGACTTTAATTTTCATATGATATGAAAAGTATAGTATAAATAA